CCCCAAAACCCCAAAACCCCAAAACCCCAAAACCCCAAAACCCCATTTTCAAGCACTCGAATTGAATGTGGCTGTCATTATTTTTCCTGCCCTCACCTCCAAATTCTTGAAATATGATGCTTTATTCAAGAGATTTACTTTTATGAAGAGGGTTCTGGATTTTCTTTCTCGGCTTCTTTTCATTCTTTCTAGATCCCTTCAAAGCATCAGCAAGCTCAATTTCTCTTTTCTTGGCCAAGAATTCTTGTTCACGGTGTTTCTTAATAGCCATTTTACCTCTGAAAAGTTTAGTCTCTTCAAGTTTAATAACAGCTTGGTAAAGCCTATGGTTATACTTTCTGTGCAAATATACTCCATGAGGAAGCATTTTTTCTACATCTCCTAATTTAATTGATTCCTTCACAGTTAAATGGGATAAATCAAGGTGGATCTGAGGAGGATAAATCTCTGAGTAAGTCCATAGATCTAACTCGTTAACTACGTGGTGCACATTTGCTCCAAGCATCCTGTCATGACATTGATTTTCATTGTATGGCACAATTGGAACTCTGATAGGATTTGGCCTTCCAGGAATAAATCTATTGAATGATGCTTTCATTGGATATCTCTGCATTGGATTAATGTTAATGTCATGCAAAACAACTCTAATAGGTTCCTCACTCCCATAATTAAACTCAAACTGCTTACAGTAACCTGCATCAGTTCTTGCCAAATGAATGATGAATTTCTTTTTGCCAACAAGATGTAAGTCTTTGCTCCATTCGTCTCTTTTAAGCACAACAATAGGAAGCTCGGAATTTTTCTTTAGTTCCTCAATAGTATCTCCTGGTTGTCTGAGCCTTAAGTCATTGTTAACCTGTATCTCAGCAGGGAGATATTGCCTTCTAAGCATATGCTCTCTGACTTTCTTTGCATAAAGATCAAGTGAGTTACTGACTTTTGGAATGATCCAATCTCTATGTACACCATAAGTCTTGCTTAAATATTTCTCTGCGCCAGGGAGAAGGGAGTCTTCATCGGTAATTTTCTTGGAAAAATCAGGATCTAATCCAGCTAGCTTCTCATCTGGTTCAAAATAAATAACACTTCTGGAAGGAGTCATAGTTAGTGTTTTGATGCTACTGCGTGAGAACTTTGAAAATCTGTATAAATTTCTTGGATTTAGCATGAAAGCCATGATTATCAATAATTTATAATAATTATGGGGTTTTGGGGTTTTGGGGTTTTGGGGTTTTGGGGTTTTGGGG